GTAATTAGAAGCTGCATTCATTCATTTGAGTCATTATCTACAACTGAAGAATTTCTAATAATAAACTTGTTAGAGGAAAATCAATATTAAACAAAATATCACCAAGGAATGCTAAAAAAATTAAAACATGACATTTAAATGGCATTCGATTCATGCTGACATATGTCAGATTACTTATTTTGTCTCTGACTCACTCACTACCTATCTATCACTCTCTATATGAACTTTTGGATGGACAGAAACAATTAATAAATCATTTTCCCTAAAAGATTCTGCATTATAAGTTATCATATATGAAATCCTTCTGAATGATTCACCTATGAAAGCACTTACCACTATGGTTATTTATAGATATGCACATTTGCAATATGAAAAATATTCTTCTCTTTCTTTAATTTTTAGACAAAGCCTCTTTCTGTTTGCAATGACAATTGTCATCCAGGTTACAGGAAGGCCAAAAAGGAAGGGAAACCATTTTGCTGCTATGATTGCCTTCTTTGTCCAGGAGGAAAGATTTCTAATCAGAAAGGTAAGTGATAATTCGTAGAGGAATAGTTGTTCACTTGTCATCTGTGATTACAACTGCTGAAGTACTCGGGTTGATTGATTGATTGATTCAATTTTTATAGACACCCAACTCAACCAAGTGACTCTGGAAGGCTTACAATTATAAAATTATAAAACAATTTAGGAAACATTAAAATAATAAAGACATCCACAGAATAAACAATACAAAGAGCAGCTGTGATGATTAAACAACTAATGGTAAACCCAAGTAACAGGGCAGCTAATAGGGCCCTTAACAAATTCCACATACATAGTCAAGTTTTTAAAGCTTTACAAGAAGCCAACCATGTTGGCCCATTCTAATCTCTGAAAGGAGAATATTCCATAAGAGGCTACAGTAGAAAATCTTCTATTATCTACCAGTCAACACTTTTTGGCTCATGGGATCTGTAGCATGCTCAATCTGTTGGATCAAATTGGATAGGTAGAAACCCTTGGAAAAAGACAGTCCTTCAGGTAACCCTATCCCAAGCCATATAGGGCTTTAAAGATAACAACCAGAGCCTTAAATTGCACTGGGAAACACACTGGCAGTCAGTACAACTCAATGAGTAGTGGTCTCACATGTGCCATGTAGCTGGTGCCATTAATTGCCCACATAGTTGCATTTCGTACTGTTGAGGTTTCGGAATGCTCTTCAAGGGCAGTAGAGCACATTATAGTAATCTAAGCAGGAAGTTACAAGGGAATGGCTGATGGCAAGCAAGATCCAGGAATGGATGCAACTGGCATACCACCCTTAGGTGTGCAAAAGCTTTCCTAACCATAGCTTCCACCTGCTAGTTGTCCATCAAGCGGTTGTGTACATATTTAAATAATTAATTAGATTTCATTATTTCAGTATCATTTTCATGAAAGTTGTTAGTAGAATAGAAGCCTGTTTTTTTCTTTTTCTCACAGACATGGACAACTGCTTTCCGTGTCCACAAGATCATTATCCCAATGAGGGGCAAAATTTTTGCATTCTAAAATATGTAACTTTTTTGTCCTATGAAGAACCTTTGGGGATCACCTTTACCAGTTTTATTATTATTTTTTCTATCATTACTATTTTGGTGCTCTGGCTCTTCATTAAACACAATGACACCCCTATTGTGAAAGCCAACAATGAGACCCTCACCTACATTCTTCTCATCTCTCTCCTGCTTTCATTTCTTTGTACCTTGCTTTTTATTGGTTGGACTCATCAATGGACATGTCTTCTTCGGCAAGTTACTTTTGGTATCATCTTCTCTGTGGCAGTTTCTAGCATTTTGGCAAAGACTATCATTGTAATTCTAGCTTTCATGGCTACCAAGCCAGGGTCCAGAATTAGAAAATGGATGGGAAACAGACTGGCTGTTTCTATGGTTCTTTCTTGTTCCTTTGTTCAAATCATTATTTGCATTGTATGGCTATCAACCTCTCCCCCATTCCTAGATGTTGACATGAATTCCATGCCAAAGGAAATTGTATTGATTTGTAATGAAGGGTCAATTGTCATGTTCTACTGTGTCCTTGGTTTTATGGGTTTCTTGGCAACTATCAGCTTCATAGTGGCTTTCCTGGTCAGGAAATTACCTGACACATTTAATGAAGCCAAATTTATTACCTTTAGCATGTTGATATTTTGTAGCATCTGGCTATCATTTGTTCCAACATACTTGAGCACAAAGGGGAAATAAATGGTAGCTGTTGAGATCTTTTCTATTTTGTGCTCCAGTGCGGGGTTGCTGGCTTTTATTGTTTTTCCAAAATGTTACATTATTGTGGTGAGGCCTGATTTAAATAACAAGGAACAGCTAAGAAGGGGAAGAATTTAAGAATTTAACATTAGGTGTAAATAAATAGATATTTCATTTTCAAATAAATTTCTTATATTTTATAAAGCTTGGTTTATGTGTTCTCATTATATAATCTCCTACTCTAAAACTGAAATCAAATAAAATTTGTTAATTACATGAAAGACAATCTATGTCAGCGTTATTTGGTTCCTTTCAACCATCTATCTGAAAAGAAAATGATAACTTTTCTGTTATCAGTTGACAAGGAGCAGCACTTAATCATCAGCTTATGTAGTATAAGTTTCACATATCCTAAATGACTTGCACCCATAACTGTCCACCCACAACTGTCTAAGTGGCATGAGCTGAAAATGTTTATACTTCCCAAAGCAGTAATTCATTGAGGAAGTGACTAAGGTATAAATGACCATGAGCAGGGCCTCCCAGTCCAGGAATAGGCATAATTGTGTTAACAAAACACAAAGCACAACTGCCACCTGCTCATCAAACAGGAGCCACAAGTCCAGGTGGATCCCCAAAGTGTGCACAGGATGTGTCTGGAGCCATTCAGAACAAGAGATGGAAGGTTCCCATAGCCGGAGAATCTAAAAACCCAAATCCACTTCGATTATTAGGACTTTTGCTGAAGTCTGTTGTTGCCTCATCCAGAGTCTCACAAACTCCAGGGACCAAAACAGAAACTGGATGGGGATACATAATTGGGAACAAAAAGGCAACAACTAGATACCTCAACCTGAGAAACTTCATGTAAATGTTAAATAGGAGAACAGAGAGCATTGAACCTGCAGCACCCACCAGAGCAAAGACTGCTGGTTGGGCCATTTCTCCCCTATAATACTGTGTTTTCCTGAAAATAAGACCTACCCAGAAATTCATCCATAGCCTGATTTTTGGGATGGACTTAATATAAGCCCTATCCCCAAAAATAAGCCTGGGACAGTGGGCGTGGCCAGCACAAGAGGTAGCAAGCGTGTGGGGACTGACGGTGTCTGGTAGCAGCCACAGCCCATCAGACCCTTGGCACAGCACAGGTAAGTCTGAGTGTAGAGACAGACACATGGGGTTGAGGCAGGCAATTGTGATGCACTGCATGGCTGCCTACCCTGGGATGGCTGCAGGCAAGCCAAGAGACTGTGGGATGGAGTGGGTAACACATTGGGATTGCCTGCCTCCTCCCCATGCCTCTGCTTCTGCCTGCTGCTGGTGTCAGCACATGAACCTCCCACAAGCCAGGCAGTGCTACAGCATGCCCAGATCGCCTGCCTCCCCCCCCCATGCTTTTTCTTCTGCTTGGTTCCCCCATGTACTTTTGCCCAAGGGGAGGCTGAAAGCTTTGTCTGCTTACAAATACAGTGCTTGGAAACAGAGTACCCATTTGCAAGCAGACGAAGCTTCCAGTCTCCCTCTGGGCACCTATGGAATGCTTGGAAATTGAGCAATTTGCTCCATTTCCAAGAATGACATACACATCCAAACACTTTTTGCCCAGATGGAGAAATGACAGAGACTGCTTTCAAAAGGAAAGAGTGTGGCAGATAGAGGGTGGCAGCAGTGGAGGCATGCTCTGCCCAGTCCTTCAGCTTCCCCTGCCCATCTGCACCGCTCTCCTCATCATCTAAAGCCATGTTGTATTCTGCTGGCACTCTCCTCACCTTCTGAGTGTCTGCCCTGGGAAGCCCTGTAAGACATTGTGACTGCAGGCAAGCAGGCAGTGGGAAGGAGAGGGCAGGTGACCACAAACATCCCCTGAAAATAAGCCCTAATGGGTCTTTTGGTCCAAAAAAAATAGAAGACCTGGTCTTATTTTTGTGGAAAAACAGTATTAACAGGGACCAGCATATGTCCATGTCCTTGAAGTATATTTTAGGAAGAAAATTTAAACATTATTGATCTACATTCAAAATTATTATACTTCTTACTTTGGTAAGCCTTAATATTACAAATTAAAATAGCATTAAACAATTTGATAAAATAATTAATTTTAAAATTTAATATTAAGAGTCTGATCTCCAAATTTTTCTATAACATTAAAATATGCATGTCAATACATCCAATGTAATTTTTAAACTTATTCTTCCCACAATACACAGAGAACCTATTTTGTAACTCAGAGAAGAAATGTTATAGTGTTACATTTCTCTCTTAATTTCTTGCTCCTTTCTTGTTTCTTGATCATTTTGTTAAAAAATGGTAATATTTCCACTGTAATTACTAATTTAATTAGTTTTATTTCAATGCCATCTCTTAATTCCAAGAGAATTCTTGTACCCAATCAGATAGGTACAATGATCACCTTCTTCTCTGAAAAACAAAATAAAAGATATCTGTTGGGAAATATCCAAAGGATTTTTCTATTCATTATTTTGTTTTATCTATAGGTTCCCAGTTAGTGATTCTTTCCCTACAATTACCCATTTGAACATGACAATTTCTGAATTCCCCATAGACCTCAAATGAGTTGCAAGTACCACAAACACAGAAAAGCAATACAATAAAATAAAAAGATGATAAACACAAGGTGATATTCTAAACTGGGATTAAAGATAGAATTCTGAATTTTGACATTTGTGCCTACAAAGGGACCTTTAATGAAATACAGCCCTGAGTGGGATGAATTGGTTTAAAGAACGAACTACTTCATTCGGGATCATGGCATTTGAAGCATTAATTATAGTGCTTTTACCCCAAGTGGTGTGCATAATTTCTAATGCTAAATGCAGCATAAGTGAGCCTCTGCCCTTACTTCACCAGCACTATGAACCTGGAGACTTAATTGTTGTTGGCATTTTGTCTAAGATCTACATATTCTATACATTGATGGACTTCAGTGAACCACCGTCCAGTAATCTTTTTGATGAAATCCTGTAATTTTATTTGAAACACAGAGACATTTATTTATTTGTAATCTTACCTCAGATAGGCAACAAATAATATTCTATATAATGAGATGAAAAGATTATGTATAATGTTTATTTATTGAGCTGTGACTTTCCCTCACATTAACATTTTGTGGGTCCTAGAATGACTTTCAAAGGGGGGGGGATATAATATAGATAATAAATTATATTTTATGCAGTGCAAACCTATGTTCAAAGACATTTGGGCCAATTTTCATAGGGTTTTAAAAAGACTGGCTCCTTTATCAAATATCTTACTTACATGTTTCCATATTTTACTGTAATAATGGTAAGGATAAAATTAAAAACTGAAGAGATGAAATTAAAAAGTTTGGGTAAATTGTGTTTTCATAGTAGTGAGCAGAAAAATGAAAAAAGAAAAATATTTTAAGAAATTGCAAAAAACATTGTGATGGTATGTGCTTCAGTATCATTGATTTCAAATATTTCAGACTCCAAAGTCATAATAATATAAAAGAAATCATTCTTTTAACTAATATATTTATAATATATTTAGAGTACTGGGCTTGTAAAAACTGGTGAGAAATATCCAGGTGAAGTACATTTTTTATGTACTTTACAATATGTTGCAATAAACTCTATTAAATGTCTATGGAGATTCTCAGTCATCCAGATCATGGCTGACCCAACAGTCCTTTTTCAGGAGGCAACTGGACTTTCTTGTTTTTCTTTGAAGATACTTCTCATCTAATAAGATTGTTCAGCTCTAACTGGATGGTGGGAAATGGAAAGATTTATATTCCTTGCAAACAATTGGTCATTTGCCTTCTTTTAGAGAATTGTTGAGGCCTTTTGGAGATTTACCTGTGTCCTCAAAGTCATCTGAGTGGTGCAAATGGATGTGGAGCCTTCTTGGCTGCAGGATGTTTTCTGCCCCGTGTCCCTTCACTGTTGAAAACAGGCACAGGCTGTTGGGGATGAATCTGTGTCATCTGCCTCTCAAACTATATCACAAATGGTTCCTGTAGTCTGCAATGTTTTCTCAACAATTCTCTAAAAGAATGCAAGTGACCAGCTGTCTGCAAAGAATATAAATCCTTCCATTCTCCACCATCCAGTCAGAGCTGAAGAAGCTTCTTGGATGAGAAGTGAAATGTCTTCAAGAAAAACAAGAAAGTCCAGTTTCCTCCTGAAAAAGCACCTTTCAGTCTATTAAATGTTATATCTTGAACAATGTGAAAGAATATATAATCTTCCTTTCAGAGAGATGACATCAATCTATCAGCAATTCCTAGCTTTGCAATTTGCAGTCAAGGAGATCAATGATAATCCTCACATTTTACCCAATTACACTCTGGGCTTCCATATCTATAACAGTTATTTTACTGCAACATGGACTTATCGTGCCTCATTAGAACTGTTCTCTAGCAAGGAGAGATTCATCCCTAACTACAAGTGTGATATGAAGAAACGACCAATAGCTGTCATTGGGGGACCAACATCTGCAGTTGGAGCTCACATGACCACCATCCTGTCCCTCTACAGGATGACACAGGTACAATGGCTACATGGAAAACAGGCACTTTTGAAGTTTCTTATGTCTTCCTTCCAGTAGTGGGGTGCTTCTCATGGGATGAAGGAAGGATGAGAGGGTTAAGGAATAAATTGATCCATTGGACACTGCAAAGTCTTAAGCTATTTATTTTGCTTGATTTAATTAGTTACATTCTATTTAGTAGGTTTGTTTGATACACAACCACTTTTTTTTAGGGTTAGAGCTGCTGAGGCCTCTAATAGTCTGTCTTAATTGATATTCCCTTATTTTCACCTTTGCTTAAATTTCAATGTTTATGATTGTTGTCACTGTTGTTATTTTAATTTAAAAGACAGTACTTGCTCTTTAAAAAGGAAGAAAAAATAAATGAAAACATGTAAGGAGAAGAAGAAGAAGAAAAATGTCCTTTGTAAACTGAATTGTAGAGAAAGAAACCAGATAAAATTCACAGAATATTCATCATATCCATGAATTGTATCATCTTAGACCATAAAAATGTTGTTGTTGGTGAATATACTAGAACAAGCTGTGAGCAGAGCCAGTTGAGCTAGTTTGTTATTTCTGAAGGTAATTTTATTTTTCAGCATATATCACATTTGATACTAGAGGGTACAATGTAAGTTCTGCTTTATTAGTAAAATGCAGATATAGCTGTTCTATGAAATAAAAGGATGATCTGATGGAAAGATTACCATTTAATCAATTGCACCAAAGCAGCCCTACTTATGCAGGAACTGGCTGATTATTTCAACAAATAATGAAAATCTGGATACCTTCTGTTCATTTCTTCCCATTGAAAAATAGATAATTCATAGCATCTCAACTACAGTACTTTCCTTAATATTTTCTAAATTCATATGTAAACTATGGCTAGGAGGGAAGTTTGAAATCACAATTAATTCTTAATGTTTAATTCCTGAGCATTTTTTCCTCTAATATTTTCTTTATAAAATTGAAAAAAAAAATTCCCCATCCCATTTTTCCATCTATTTCTTCAGTTCATCTATGGCTCAACTCCAGAGATAAATGAAAAAACAGAAGTTGTTTTATACCAACAGATGTTCCCAAATGTGCACCACCAATACAGTGGAATTCTTCAATTAATGCTCCACTTCCAGTGGACTTGGATAGGGATGGTCTATACAAATTGTGAGAATGGTGAAAAATTTGTACAAAATGTGGTTCCCATGTTTTCCCTGAATGGCATTTGTTTTGCTTTTATTGAAACTTTGCCAGCCATTACTTATTCTAATAATATTTTCTCTTCTGTGGAAGCTGGGATTGAAACATTCAAAGTTATTATGAGAAGCTCTGCTAATGTAGTGTTAATCCATGGTGAAGCTGAAGATATGATTATTTTGAGGATAATTCCCACCATATCCCAAGTGGAAGATATACCATTATTGGTAAATGTTAAAGTGTGGGTGTTGACAGCTCAGATGCATTTCACATCACTTCCCTTCCAAAGGAATGATGACATAGACTTCCTCCATGGTGCTCTCTCCTTTGCAATTCACTCAAGGGAGGTTTTGGGATTCCGGGAATTTCTTCAGATGAGAAAGCCTAACATGAAAAAAGAAGATGCCATTATCAAGCTCTTCTGGAAAAATGCATTTGAATGTTCTTACTCCAACTCCATGAATGGGGAGAAAGACGCAGTCATCTGCACTGGTGAAGAAAAACTGGAAAATCTTCCTTCATCTGTATTTGAAATGGACATGACTAGCCACAGCTACAGTGTCTACAATGCTGTCTTTGCAGTGGCACATGCTTTGCAAGACATCCAAGCATCCATATTCAGATACCAAGCAGGAGATTGTGAAGCCAAACTAAACCTTCTGAAACAACATCCATGGAAGGTAAAGTTCTAAGCAAGTAATGTGTAAATTGCAGAGGGCTGATCATATTTGAAGGTAAACTAATAAAACTTAGATAGGGGAGGATGCTGTTCTACTAAGTTTTTTTAAAGCCTAGATATGAGCATTTATCTAGAGATAAGGTTCTTTCTAAGTGTAACTCTAACATTGTGATTGTGTGGGGTTTTGAAGATTTATTTCATTCCACCTTATATAATTAAATAAGCACACCACACTGTCATCATGTGAGATGAATTGCACTTCCCATTACTAATATGCCACAATTCCCAGGAATTACTAAGTTCCAAATTCTTTGAAATGAAATTCTTTAAAAAAAGAGAATGAAGAAAATGAGTACCACTTAATGCTAGAATGAAATTAAAATATGTATTTATCCTTAGCTGAACTCAAAAAAGGGATTGGACAGGAATTCCTAGGAAAAGCTAGTTTGGTCTAGGAATGAGGAGACAGTGAGTTCCAGTCTTCTTTAGAAAAGAAAGTCATCTGGGTGATCTTGAGTCAGCCCAACTCATCTCACAGGATTGTTGTCGGTAAAAAGAAAAAAGAAAAAAGGAGGAAGTAGTATTATGTATGTATGTCCTCTGCCTGGACTTATTTATAAAAATAATGAAGGCGGGATAAAAATAAGAAAACAAAAATAGGTGTTGTACACTGATTAGGAACTTGAAAAATAGCTTCTATATTAATAGCAATAGCTTCCATAGTGCTGCATAGCACTTTACAACACTCTCTGATTAGCTTACAACGTAGAAACATTATTTGCATATTGCCTGGACAATCTGGCTCTTTATTTTATTGACCTTGGAAGGATGGAAGGTTGAGTCAATCTTGAGCCCTGTTAAGATCAAACTCCAGACTGTGGACAGAGTTTGCCTGCAATACTGCACTTTAATCATTGCACTACCAAGATTCTTTATTTGACTGATCATATGTCATTGTTGTATTTACTGTAACTGAGTTCATAAACCTTGCTGGTGGTCTTCTCTTTCTTTCCACTTTATCTAACATTAGAACCTTATCGATGGAGCTTATCATTCATTTGAATGAATTATACATTCAAATAATGTCCAAATAATTGTCCACAAAAAGAAACAGTGATATTTATAAGGAGCTGAACTTCTCTTCAAGGAAATGCTTACTTTGTTTTTTTAATATATAGAAAATTGAGATATTTAAAGCTTCACTGCTGAATATAATGTAAATTATTCTCCTTACCAAAGTATGATTGAAACTAATCATTTTAATGTTTTCTGAAATAAATTGGAAATCAGGAGCTTTTTTATTCAGTTTTCATTCAATTATTCTTCATGGATGTAGATCTTTTATTAATTTGTTATATGTTTTATTCTGTCTTGAAAGTGATTATTGTTCCAAAGAAGACAAAGAGGAGGGGACATTATTTTTAATGTACTGGAATGTTTACTGTACTCTTTCTGATTTTTTTTTCTTTTTAAAAATTTAGCTCAATCAGTTTGTAAGGAGAGTGTCTTTCAATAACAGTGCAGGGGAAAAAGTTTCCTTCAATCAGAATGGAGAGTTGGAGGTTGGATTTGATATTATGAACTGGATTGTATTTCCAAATCAGTCTTTTGTGAGAGTCAGAATTGGAGGGATCAATGGCATGGATTCTCAAGAAATAATGTTTTCTTCTCCTGAAGAATCTATTGTGTGGCCTAGGAGATTTAATCAGGTATGGTCCAGTTGCAATTTAGATTATTTTCCATAATTATTCCATTGTTATTAATGTTTACAGATCCAACATCCCACCCTCCATTTACATTCAGAAATGAAACCTTCCAAGGCTTTTTTATACTCCCATATATTGCCTAGGCCAGGAGCCATTGTGTGTATGGGGAGATGTGAATATATGAAAAAGCATGGCGGCATATGTGAATTTGGTAAAAAAGATAGCTTGGGATTCCATAAGTCACATACATAATTTGTATGTGTTGTCCAAAGATCAAATACCAAGGAATAAAGATAATTAAAAAGTTCAGAATAACTTTTTATTCTAAAGGTTAAACAGTTTAACAGATAAAATAATTTCACAAAGATTACACAAAGTCTTAAGAGATAATAGAAAGCTCACTAGGAGTTCAACAATATCCATTTATATCTGCTTGTTTTTCCTTTTATATATGGCAACTCTGACATATTGAAATAAGTTACTGACATGGAGTATCATAGTCAAGCATCTAAAGATGATTCTGCCACTTTTATAAAACGTTGTGTTCCAAAGAAGGAAAAACAATGGAATAAAAAGACACAAAAATATTTTTCCAATCTGTTATGTCAGAGGAATACAGAGAGACTGTTTTCTATAGTGGTTCCCAGTGTGTAGAACTTCCTGTCCCAGAAAGTTTTGGAACATTTTAAATGAAATCTTTCATAGTGATTTATACTATGTTTTTTTCCTGTCTTGTTTTACTGATTTTTAGTTTATTATCCTTGCTTTGTTATTCCCATGGTACAGCATGGTTTTATACAGGTAGTCCTCTACTTACAACAGTTCACATAGTGACCATTCAAAGTTACAATGGCACTGGAAAAAATGACTTATGCCCATTTTTCACATTTATGAACATTGCTGCATACCCATAGTCATATGATTTACATTTACAATCAATGCTTGACAACTGGCTCACATTTATGATGGTTGCAGTGTCCCGGGGTCACATGATCACCTTTGGCAACCTTCTGACAAGCAAAGTGAATGGGAAAACCAGATTTACTTAACAACCAGGTTACTAATTTAACAACTGCAGTGGTTCCCTTAACAAACATAGGAAGAAAAGTTATAAAATGGGACAAAATTTACTTAACAAATTTCTTACTTAGCAACATAAATGTTGGGCTCAATTGTGCTCATAAGATAAGGACTGCCTGTACTTAGTAGATATTTTCATTGCAAACCACTAGAAGCTACTCTGATTGTGGCAATATAAAATATTGTACATTCAAAGGAAAAGATCACACCTTATTACAAGCCATGATCATTTGGTTCCAGTTCATAAGAGAAATGGGAACAGGAACAGAAGAATAGTAAAGACTTTGATAGGAGTTGTGACTTGGGGAGCAGCAAATTGTTGAGCTCTGATTTGCTGGTGGTTATCCAGGGCCTCAGAGGGTGGATCAAATTATTTTTATTTTATGGGGGCAGGAAAGCTATTGCTAAGGAGAAACCAGTGTTTGGAAATGGTCTGTCCATGCTAATGAATGATAGTAGATTTAGGTGCATGCTCTTAATCTAAAACTGGAAGGTCTCTGAATTTTCACCGAACTCCACTGTTGCAATTTCCTTAGTGGGTCTGCTGCTGAGTGCTTGCAAAGCTTGAGTCCTCATTATCTTTTTTTTATCTAGTGAGTCATACTTCTTTTCTTCTGGCCTGACCAGATTGAGGAGGACTTCTTTTAGGACAGAAATATCTGATTGGATTATTTAAATGAAGAAGGGTATTTGGGCATGAATCTGATCTTGTTGCTGAGGTCCTAGGAGGGAGCCTCTATTTCTGGTTTGTCACAAGAAAATGTAACAAATAAATCAAGATGGAAATAAAAAAAATGGAGATACAATCAAAAGCATTCTCTCTTTTCTTAATGGACAGATCCAGCCACTTTCTCTATGTAATAACAAGTGCCATCCAGGATACAGTAAGAAAAAGATAGAATCAAAGCCTTTTTGCTGCTATGATTGTATTCGATGTCCTGATGGGAAGATTGCTAACCAGGAAGGTAAGTGATGCTATATAGAAAGCTGAAAGAACTACTGACAGTAATACTCAAAGGCATTTCTTCTCTTATTATCCAAAAATAGATGATGATCTTGATGTTTTAATTCATCAAGGAATATCATGGTATTAAAAAAAAAACAGAAATAGAATCTCTGATGGGTTGTCTGAGTTTCCTTTGATTGCTGCAGATGTTTCATTACCAAACTAGATAACATTGTTAATGCATGGGGGAGCTGTAAACCACATATTTACTCTAGAAGCAATCAATAAACTTTGTCTCCCATGGAGTGATAATGCTACTCAGCTTGGTAATGAAATGTCTGCAGGAACAGAAGAAAGCTCAAAGACCCACAAGAACCCAACCACATATACAGCTAGAATAGTGAACTGGACTTAAACAGAATTAAAAGTCCTGAATAGGAAGACCAGAAAAATACTAGCAATGCATCATTCTCTTCATCCATGAGATGATATTAATAGTCTCTGCTTACCAGGAAAATAAGTGACTATATAATATACTGTGTATACCAATAATAATAGGTGGCGTGTGCACCTATCCCAAAATAACTGGAGCACCACTTAAACATCATTGACAAAAACACCAATGGTCAATTGCAAAAGGCAACTTTACTCAAAACAGCTTTACTTAGAACAGATTACAGGGGTTGCCAGAAAGAAGAGGGAGTCAAGCTATTATCCAAAACACCTGAAGGAAGGACAAGAAGTAATGGATGAAAACTAATCAAAGAGAGAAGCCATCTAGAACTAAGGAGAAATTTCCTGACAGTTAGAACAATTAATCAGTTGAACAAACTGCCTCCAGAAGTTATGAATGCTCCAACACTGTAAGTTTTTAAGAAGCAACTGGACAACCATTTATCTGAAATGGTATAGGGTTTCCTGCTTGAGCAGGGGGTTGGACTAGAAGACCGCCAAAATCCCTTCCAACTCTATTGTTGTTGTTGTTGTTATTCCTGTGACAATGCCTCTAATACCATCAAACAACATCTGCCTATCCCAGGTTCATGAAAAGTACCCCAAAATGGACAAAAATTCCAAATCCAATCAATATATGTGACTATGTGATTGTTATTAATGAAATTATTTGTAGTTCTTTTACACTGGTATAACAGAATAAAATAACTTTGTTTTCTCAACTGTTTTTAAAATAGGCATATAAAATTGGTTATGCAAATTAAAATAAAAGCATAGATCACACTGGATTTCTTGGTCTCTTTGTACTATTTAATCTTTCTGAACTCCCTGATGGTAAAATCACTCTTAATGTTATAATTGTTATTTTATGAGTTAAGACTAAAATTCAAATATATTTAGAGTTCACTTACTGTCCAGATTACCTGCATCTTATAGCCTCATCAGAAAGGGTCTGTATGCAAATGATCTCAATATGTCATAAGAGTCTTTAAGGTGCCTTTGAAAACTAATATGAACAGTGCTGGAAAATAGTTCATATTTATACAACAACAACAACAACAGGAAACCCTATACCATTTCAGACAAATGTCTCTTCTTAAAAACTTCTAGTATAGGAGCATTCACAATTTCTGGAGGCAGGTTGTTCCACTGATTAATTGTTCTAACTGTCAGGAAATTTCTCCTTAGTTCTAGGTTGCTTCTCTCCTTCATTAATTTCTACCCATTGCTTCCTGTCCTGCCTCCAGGTGCTTTGAAGAATGGGTTGACCCCCTCTTCTTTGTGGCAACCCCTGAGATATTGGAACACTGCTATCATTTGCAATAGTACTAATTCTAGGCTCTGTCTCCATGAACTCCAGCTGTCAATTAGTGATTTTTGTGTGTCTGTGTGATTTTCAACAGTCCAAGTGAGACTTCAAGCTAGAAAGCCACGCAAACAAATTAGAAAATAAAATTCCAGTTACTAATTCCAGCCCCAAATATTCCCAGTTCACAAACCATGGATACATCATGACTACTTTTTGATATACAAAAAGCAAATACAATAATTTTGTTTTGTTTTGTAGAAACATATACAACATATATCCTACCTTATTAATCATTTCTGATTATAGACTTTTATGCAAATTATAGAACATTATTTGGTTTTCAAATTCTAACTTAATAATTATCATTTGATGACTGTCATGTTCACATCCAAAAAGATTTCAGAACCTCCTAAACTAATCATTTCTTTTCCAGATATAGATGACTGTTTTCATTGTTCAGAAGATCAGTACTCAAACGACAACCAAGATCTGTGTCTCTCAAAAGCATTAACATTTTTGATGTATGAAGAACTTTTAGGAACCGTTTTAGCCAGCTGTGCTATTTTCTGTTCTTTCATTACAGCTGTAGTCTTCTGGGTTTTTATTAAACATCAGGATACTCCTCTAGTTAAAGCCAATAACCAGAATCTGACCTACATTCTCCTTGTTGCTCTCTTATTATCTTTTATTTGTGCTTTGCTATTTATTGGTCAACCATCCAAGATTACATGTGTCCTTCGTCAAACAGCTTTTGGAGCTGTCTTCTCAGTGGCCATGTCTTGTATTTTAGCCAAAACTATCATTGTGGTTCTGGCTTTTATGGCCACCAAGCCTGGGATCAAGATCACCAAGTGGGTAGGGAAAAAACTTGCCATGTCTGTAGTATTTGGCTGCTCCTTTGTTCAAGGGATTATATGCACTGTGTGGCTGATAACATCTCCCCCATTCCCTGATGCTAACATGAGTTCAATGGCAGAAGAAATAGTTCTGGAATGCAATGAAGGATCCAACTACATGTTCTACTGTGTCTTGGGCTACCTGGGTTTCCTTGCCTTTATTAGCTTCACACTGGCTTTTCTAGCAAGGAAATTGCCTGATGCTTTCAATGAAGCCAAGTTTATCACTTTCAGCATGTTGGTCTTCTGCACTGTCTGGTTGTCCTTTGTTCCAACATACCTGAGCACCAAGGGAAAATATATGGTTGCTGTGGAGATTTTCTCTATCATAGCCTCCAGCATTGGGATACTGATTTGCATCTTTTTCCCCAAATGTTTTATCATTATCTGGAGATCTGATCTAAACAAGAAACAAAAGCTAAGCCTAAAAAACTACACATGGATGTAAAGTTGGATGACCCCTAATCCTTCTGAATTAGTAAATAAAGCTTTAGCCAGGTATTTGGTATGTTTGTGTTAAGAATAGAATAGAATAGAATAGAATAGAATAGAATAGAATAGAATAGAATAGAATAGAATAGAATAGACCTTGGAGGTCTTCTAGTCCAGCCCCCTGCTCAAGCAGGAGAACCTATACCATCTCAGACAGATGATTGTCCAGTCTCTTCTTAAAAATCTCCAGTGATGGAGTGCCCACAATTTCTGGAGGCAAGCTGTTTCACTGGTTGATTGTCCTTGTTGAGTACGATTTGTCAGTCAGCTAGAGATGTATGTGTATTTATATCTGTGTGTGATCACAGGAGTCACAACCCTTAGTATTCCTACCACCACTGGGACTACTTTGCCTTTCACTTCCACATATTCTCTCATGCCTCCTTTGGGCCCTAGTAGTTTTTCAGCTTCTCATACTTCTTCTTGATACTGCTGTCTTTTGTGCTATTACATCTATCACTATCTCTATCTTTTTCTCTTTGTCATTTCCATGATCTCTAGTTGATTAGCTTAAACCTGCCATTCTATCTGGATCTGGAAGTCCAACAGGTTCTTAGCCCGATTATTCTCCATAACCCATGGTAGAGTCTCTTTTATGGTCTTGGGAGGGACTAGCCCATATATTGTATAGATGTTCCTGCACACAAGGTCAGCTACTTGATTATGCTGAGATAGATGGAAATATTATAAGAAATATATTTTAATTAACAAGAGTGATGTGATGTAAGCTTTAACTAATATTAATATTTAAGCAATATTAGGGCCTGGCTAAATGTAATAACCTGTGTGCTAATTCTATGAAGAAAACATTTTACAAGAAGTGTTACAAGAAGTGTCAACTGCAAGTCACAGATGGTGTAAGATATTACCAATGTAGGGCGGTGTGGTAAGATAATTGTTTGTGTGAACTTCTCCTTTTTCTTGTGTTTTAAACTTCTCCGTTTTAGTGTGTTAAAGGTAGATAAGAGTCATCCTAAGTGCAAAGTGTGGGTGATCAACTATATAAGAATAACTCCCTGGGAGTAACCCAGGGTTCAGAATTTGTCATATGAATACTCTGAACCATTGTGCACAAATAAACCTGTCTTCTCCAACTCTTCGTGGTCTTGTCTTCTGATGTAAGTATCATGGTTTTTCCACAACAATTATCTGGTGACCGCGGCAGGATGACAAGGAGTCTTGGGGCTCTCTGGAGGGCACACCCTGGTGCTAGGGGCCTGTAGTGTGGGGGAACATCCCAGGCACCACCAGACCTTTTATTCCAAAGGACTTCCCTGTGGCACAGGGCTCCAGCATCGGCGGTTGGCCACTCCAAGAACCACAGGTGAAGGGTAAGGAGACCAGGCATCTTTCCAGCCGGCTAGAGAACAAAGGATTCACTTGCAGGCAAGTATTGGATGGGAGAAAAATCCGTCCCTGTAAACAGGGAGGGAGGAGAGGACTGATCACCCTCTCTTTGGAATAAGGTGGGAGGACTGTTGTGTGTTTGCTGTGAAAGGCTACTGAGGTTCCCAAAGATGACCATGAGTGTACGGCACCCTGGGCCAGTAGTGAGTGAGTGGCCATTGGAGACCGTGATCTTCCGGCTCCCTGGGTTGAGCGTGCATAAGTGTAACCCCCAGTGTGATCCCAAGTGGAAGGACCCCTTACCTTCCTCTCACCCCCTTTCCTCATTTGTCTTGTCTGGTGCCCTGGGAGGGTCATTGGGGGTGGTGAAATTGTGCCCCTTACTCCATTGGGGTGTATGTTAAAGAATTTTAGCTCTGCCTATGGGACCCAGAGTTATGGTATTAAGTGGAGCAGGCATAAATTGAGGACCTTCTGTGAAGTAGGCTGGCCAAGCTTTAATGTAGGCTGGTCAGGCACAGGGACATGAGATCCATCTGTTGCCTTAAAAGTACACCAGCTAGTGTTCCATCCCACATAGGGCACCCAGACCAGGCACCCTACATTGATATGTGGCTCGGCTTGTTGCAAAGACCTCCACCATGGATCCAGAAGTGTAACACAGAAGAGTGTAGACTTCTAATATCACGTACCTTGCCACCCCAAAAGGCTAAGACGTCCATCCAGGTTCTACTGAGTTGCCCAGAAGAGCTGCCACATCCACCGCCGTATAGACCTCCACAGGGATTAAGGGGGACCCCAGGGTCTTCATCATCCTCAGAGTCCATGTGGCAGTTGGACCCTATGCTAAAGAGTTTTGAGGATAGAAAGAGCTGGGGACAAGCCATAATCCAACCAGATGTCCAGGATCAAGGAACCCAAGCTAGACCTTCACCTAAAGGAGCTGAAGGGAGCTCCGGGGCTGAGAAGAAGGAAGAACAGGAGAAACCCCAAACAGGGGACAGGGAGGTGGAGGAACCAATAGCCGAAAGGACCAGGGCAAAGACGGAGCAAGCTTCTTTGACCGCCCCCCCTCAGACAGGTTGATCAATTGGTTGTCAGTAAGGACAACCCGGCAGACACCACCATGGCTCCTCTATTCCAACATGTACCTTTTACTACATCAGACCTCCTTAATTGGAAATTCCATTATGGCCCCTTTAGTGAGAAACCACATGAAGTGGCAGATTTGGTGAAGACTATTGTGGACACCCTGGATGGATCTATAGCAGCTCATGGGAACTTTGTTTAATCCTGAGGAAAATGAAAAGATTAGGATGGCAGTAATAAAAATAGTAAAGCCCTCTCTCCCACTGATGTGTTCCCTTGATTAACACATTGAAAAATTGTTCCCTTCCACAAATCCCTCATGGGATCCATATCAGGACCTTAAGGATCTGCAGGCTTATCAACAGTTAGTGGTACAGGCAGTTCGTGCAGCAGGAAAACCAGATGTTAATATGTCTAAACCATCCTTAGTAGTGCAGGAAGCCACAGAGAGTCAAGAAGCATTTTATGCTCAATTGCTTGAAGCCTACCAAATGTATACACCTATCGATCCAACAGAGCCTACTCGCCATGGCCTTTATCTCACAAAGTGCCCCTGATATATGAAGAAAGCTGCAAAGACTGGAAGGAGCCCTGGGAAAGCCTATGAGTGAATTGATGGAAGTGGCCCGAAAGACTTTTGTGAATAGAGAAAAGAAGGAGGAGAAGAAAAAGGATCAGAAAATGCAAAGGAAGGCGGAATTGCTGGCTGTCACTATGATGGTGGTGTCAAGGAGAGGTGGCAGAGGTAGAGGACGTGGAATGGTGTTGGGATGAAACCAGTGTGCCATATGTAAGAAGGAAGGACACTGGAAGGGTGAATATCCAGAAAGAGAAAAGGAAGAAGAATAAGGAGGGGGAAGAGGCAGGTTTGCAAGGAGCTACAGAGGTGGCCCAGGGAGAAGCCAGGGAGGGAGAGGAAGAAGAGGAGGACTTTCAAGAACTCCCCTCATAGGACTGGCACAAGTGGACTGGGACTGAGACTGACCTGGTTTGGCCGCCTCCCAGAATCTATGGTCAGTTTAACAGTAGGAGGCAAACCTATCCCCTTCCTTGTGGATACCGGAGCTACCTGATCAGTCCTAACCCAACCCCTAAGCCAAGCCTCCCCCCACTCTATCAATATACAAGGAGCAACAGGAAAAATATTGCAGCGACCATTGGGGGAAGAACGATCACTCATCAGTTTGTATATATGCCAGACTGTCCAATACCTTTATTAGGAAGGGATCTGCTATGTAAACTAAGGACACAGATCTCCTTTGAAGAGGATGGTACAATGGCAATAAAATATGGCAAGGTAATGATGGAAGTATCCCGTGAAGAGGAATGGAGAATGGTAATGCTGGCACAAACAATAGAGACAAATACCAGGTGGGAAGAATTTGATGTACCGTACCTGTTGGCAGAAGACAACTCCCCCTGGCTTTGCAAGATATCATCCTCCAATCATAGTAGAAGAAATTCCAACAAAAGTACCCATCAGAATTAGGCAACACATGTATTCTAGACTCGTGCACAGGCTATCCAGGATGTGATAAACTTATATTTAGCCCATCACATTCTAGTCCCTATAGAATCCAAATAGAACACCTCAATTCTGCCAATACCTAAGGGAGAAGGTAAATTTAGGCCAGTTCAGGATCTTCATGTTGTGAACCAGGCCACAATCACTATTCATCCAGTGGTCCTGAATCCCTATGTCATTTTGGGGTTAATTCCCCAGACGGCTAAATGGTTCTCAGTAATTGACTTAAAAGATGTTTTCTTCACTATACCTATACATAAGAAGAGCCAACACTTGTTTGGTTTGAGTGGGAGAACCGTGTGTCTGAAAGAAAACACCAATATGCTTGGACAAGGTTGCCCCAGAGATTTAAGAACTCCCCAACTCTTTTCGGAGCTGCATTGGGAAAGGATTTAGAGGACCTGGACATCCCTCACCCAGATATTGTGTTACAGTATGTTGATGATTTATTAGTCACAGGCCAGGTGGAATATGACTGCTGGCAGAATACTTACGAGTTGCTTCATCTTCTGCAAGATCAGGGCTACAAGGCATCCCGGAAGAAAGCCCAATTAGTAGCAATGAAAGTCAGATATTTGGGATATGACATAGAAGAGGGTAGGAGAACACTTGGACATGAAAGGAAAGCTTCACATTGTTATTCCCTGGTGTGGGTTGCCATCTAGAATCTCTTCAAATAATGGTCCTGAATTCATCCATAAAGCCACCCAAAAGATAGCGGCTATGCTAGGAATAACATGGAAGCTTCACTGTAGTTTCCATGCTCAATCAGGAAGAAGGTTAGAGAGAATGAATAGAACCATTAAGGAAAAAGTGGCAAAAATATGTCAGGAAACTCAGCTTAGGTGGCCAGATGCTTTGAATATGGCCCTGGTTGCAGTAAGGTGTGCCCCACAATGGAGGCTCCTTGTGTCTCCTTTTAAATTATTGTATGGCAGAGTCCCTAATTTAATCAGGCCAAATGTCCAGAACTCTGGACATGTAGCAGATACTGT